GACTCCCTCCGAGCCCGCGCCCTCCCCAAGGGCCCCCCCGCTTCAAAGCTCCCCCGCCCCCCGTTCAGAGCTACCCACCTGGGTTCAAAGCTCCCCTGGTTCAAAGCTCCCTCTGTGTGTATGTGGGCAGATTGGAAGTATTTACATTTGGAAACCAGCAGTGTGCCCAGGTGGGCAAGAGGGCCAACGGCCTCCTGGCTGGTATCAGGAACAGTGTAGCCAGCAGGACCAGGGAAGTGATCGTCCCCCTGTACTCGGCACTGGAGAGGCTGCACCTCCAATACTGTGTTCTGTTTTGGGCACCTTACTAAAAGAAAGACATTGAAGTGCTGGAGTGAGTCCAAAGAAGGGCAGCGAAGCTGGTGAAGGGGCTGGAGCTCAGGTCTTATGAGGAGTGGCTGAGGGAGCTGGGGTTGTTTAGTCTGGAGGAGGCCCAGGGGAGACCTTATCACTCTCTGCAACTGCTTGAAAGGAGGTCGTAGTGATATGGGGGTCCATCTCTTCTCCAGAATAACAAGAAAACTAACTAACAGGACAAGATGAAATGGTCTCATGCTGCGCCAGGGGAGATTCAGTTTATATATTAGGAAGAATTTCTGAATGGAAAGAGTAGTAAAGTAGTGAAATTTGAGTGGCCGATTGAAGGAATGTGTGCATTTTTCATTTACAGCATCATTGTTGCTGTGTCTTAACCGCTATGATTAAAAGAGAGTCCACTGGACTGTGTAGCATCCTCACCTTGTCTGTAGGCCCATAGCTGCCCCTGGCTACTGTGCTGCATGGCAGTTTAAAGCTGTGTCTGATTTTTAATGTTTTCCGTCTCTTTTTCATTTTGTTTTTTGATAATTACAATTTGGAACAGGGGTCATCTAGGGTCCTGGTGAAGCGATTGACAGAGATCTTATTTGCATCTTAAATGTCTTTATTTCAGTACCTAACAAGTGGTAAATGTGGCCAATACGTAGACATTGGGATTTTAGCATCAGATTTACAGAAAACCTACAGGTAAGCAAAGGCTTATATCCTTATATGCTATATTAAAATAAAGAAGTTATATATATTATTTTGTTATTTTACAGTGGAAGATTACTAAGATTTGATTTTTTACATATTATCTTCATAAACAATTGCTGCCGTTAAGACAGGAAGATCTTTTCCACTTCAATGTTTTTCTTTCCTGACCTGTCCAGTAACAGTTATAATTGCATTGTCATTGCAAGGTTTACATGCTGACTACATATTTTTAATTAAACAGCTATGGATGCATTACAGCATAATGATCCTTATTCCTGAAAGCTTAAAATATGAGAGAAAATAACAGTTCAATGCAGACCAGTGGAGGAGACACAGGATTCAGTAAGACACTGTTACTCAGCAGGATAGTCAGTCCTGCTAATTGCTGTGTTTTTAGGCTGTTATACTTCTTTGGGTAGGGAGAAAGGTTGTGTATCAGTGGATAACTGGAGAAAGTGAAGGATTCATGGTCTATTTTCTTGTGTTTTATTAAAGAAAAGGCACTAAAATCCTTATCGGGATTTTTGAAGTTCTTTACTAGTGATGAAGGTGTCTTTTTTTTTTTTCTCTCTCCATTAATTTAAATAATTAAATATTCCCTCAGTGAGTGAAAGTAAAAGGTTGATGATTGCTGTTTTCACTTAAGGATGCTTTTGATAAGATTTTCATAGAATCATACAATGCTTGAGGTTGGAAGGGACCTCTAGAGGTCATCTAGTCCAACCCCCCTGCACACGCAGGGTCACCTAGAGCACGTGGCACAGGACTGCATCCAAGCGGGTTTTGAAGATCTCCAGAGAAGGAGACTCCACAACCTCTCTGGGCAGCCTGTTCCAGTGCTCTGTCACCCTCACTGTTAAGAAATTTTTCCTTAAGTTCCTATGGAATTTTGGATGTTTCAGTTTCCGGCCATTTCCTCTAGTCCGATCAGTGGCCACCACTGAAAAGAGACCAGCAGCACCCCAGGATCCCACTGGCCTTCTTGGCCACAAGAGCACACTGCTGCCTCATGGTCAACTTGTGGTCCACCATGACACCCAGGTCTTTCTCCGCAGAGCTCCAGAAGGTCAGTCCCCAGCCTGTACTGGTGTCTGGGGTTATTCCTCCCCAGGTGCAGGACCTTGCACTTGGCCTTGTTGAATTGCATGAGGTTTTTCACCGCCCAGTTGTCCAGTCTGTCCAAGTCCCTCTGGATGGCAGCGCAGCCCTCTGGGGTATCAGCTACTCCTCCCAGTTTGGTATCATCAGCAAACTTGCTGATTTTCTCACATTGAGCTGTTGTTTTTTGTCGCAGGTAGACCTGGTTGGACTGATCTTTCTAGTCCTGTGTCTGTATGTTCTTGTGTGAATGAAAATGTGAAAAACAGTAGCGTTGTTCTGAAATAAAATCCAGTGGGTATACGTACAGTTAAAGAGAGCCTTGATAATTTGTACCAAATACCTGTTTAGGGACCACTGTAGTTTACCATTTTTGTTTTATTCCAGAAATATAGAGTTACACGTTGCTGTTCGAGCTATTCCAGGTTTAAGAATAGTCACGTATTCACATAGTTGCTTCTTGATAAGAATTTAGAACGTATTTCTTCAGTGAGAATGACTATGTATTGTAATCTGTTATTTTGTTTTTCAGTGCAGAATATGGACGAAGAAAAAGAAATGCTTTCAGAATACAAGTTGAAAAAGGTAGCTTTGTTAGTATTATGTCTAAGATGCTAAGCACTAACAATTTCTTTGATTATACTTTTGCCATATTCTAATTCTATATTTGAAATTTTTCTTCAGTGTTTGGAATAATCAGTAATGAAAAAGGACGTGAAGATCTAGCAGCTTTGGAAGCTGAACATGTGGCAAAAAGAGCAAGACAAGGGCAAGAGAAAAATGAGTAAGCAAGAGGATTTTTTACTGGAAAATGACTTTAGTTATTTTGTTAACATTTAACATTTATTTAAATCTTTATTTACATTTTAGTAGTTTCATGATAGTGTCTGGATTTCCTGCCTTCATCAGGACTTACCTATAGTTATTAAAGCACATTTTCCTGCTCGAGACAAATACATGCAGGAGAACTGATCATCATTTCTCTCTTGTGGTAAAGACATGGCTATGAATTAGTGGGTATCCTGATGGTGCTTCCCGTAGTTTTCTACATAGCCAAATGATTTGTTTCCTTTGTTTGATTTTGTTCTTGATCCTTCTGATATGTATTATCCAAATCTAAGAGATATGACTACAACAACAGGGTATTCAGAGTAAATCACCACTGGATGTGAGACTGGAGTTAAGATTTCCTAACTCCTAGTCCTGTGTGTAGTCTGCTGGACCATTCTGCTTTCTAACCTGTGATAGAGATGAGGGTCCTATGGGGAATTTAAGACAATGTTGTAATCAGAAGGGCTAGTCCAGGCCAGCAGTGATTTGTTACAGCTCTCCCAGTGCCACCACTGGTTACTGTATGGTCTCCTCGTGAGCAGATTCAGTCTGCGGGTCTTGCATCACTTTTTCTGTGGGCCAGCCAGGTTGCTAACTTCTCCAGATCCAGCTTCTCACAGCCTTTGGAAATAACATATTTTTTTTTAATTCTGCATGGTGGCAAATTTAGAGCATAGTAGTCAGGAGTTGTTTTTCAGTCTTAAACGATGTATTGTGGCTCTCCGTTTGGGAAATGGTTCTGTTTCTGGGTATTGTACTTGTGTGCTGCTCTGATGCATTAAAAGAGTAGTTTGTCTTTTTTTCTGTAAAGGACTGCAGAAAGTGGCACAGATGACTCTGATGATGATGATTATCCAGAAGATCTAGTAAGTTGTTTTTTATTGTGTTTGTGTAAATATATATATATACACACACACATAACATAACATACAGTATGTTGTGCAATCCCAATGCCCTTGAAGTGTATAAAAGTGGAGATGACAAAAAGGATGAAGCTGCAATTACAACTGAAAATCTTTAGAGGTTATTTTCTGAAGGGGAAAAACAAACAAACAAACAAAAAAACAACCACAGAAAAAATCTGTGGTGGTAATCACTTTTGAGAAAGTGCTCTGGAGGTCCAGAAGACTTGGGTATCAAATGAAGTGATTGAAGGAAGTGACAGTGGCAGAGGTCATTTAAGGATAAATTGCAGAGGCTGTTGCCTCTTCAACTCTCAGATGCACTTCTACATACAGTCATTTGATTTGCACAGGATATGTGCAGAGGGTTGGAGGATACATCATCACTTTCCCCAGTGAGGATAATGCTAACTGATGTTTATGAAATAATTTTCATTTGTACTTTTTGCTCTGTGTTGATATAAATAATTCAAATTATAATCTGTCTATTTCAAAGTTTTAAAATTTATTTATTTTGATATATATATATATTTTAATAATGAATTTGCAGTCTACAAATCACATGAACAGCTCCTTGCTGACCTTATACAAGAAGGGAAATCCTGATTCTGTTCTGGCAACTCCAAAAAATGAATCATTGGAAACGCCTCCTCCTGTGCAAGCAGCAACCCCCCATACAAGCACTCTGGCACCGGGGACTCGAGTTGAAACAAGGATCTCTGAAGGCGGTTGGTTCATTGACAAAACTCCCTCTAGAAAAGACTTCTTCACTGACCTTTCTGAGGACGGAGAGGGAGGTGAGAAGAAACTGATTTCTAAGGTAATGTTTTTTTTCAAGCCAAATATGATTTAGGTGGCAAGTATGTATATAATTTCTTACCTAAATTGACAGGCTTTTGAAGGATGATATTAAGACTAATAGGATTGTGTCTTTCTTTCTGGATTTTTAAATGTGCTATTATTATAAACATTCGTGGTCAGTTAAAATTACTAAGAATGTTGAAAGAAGATATTGGCTCAAGCATAGTAGAGCTTTGTTTCTGAAGAAAACAGGACTTTTCCCATTTTTATCCCCTGCCGCATATAATTTTACAGTTATGCCTTAGTGAGCATGGGGAAAGCTGAAGTTCTGTAGATTGACCAGGGTTATGGAAGTTATGAAGGGCTTGGAAATAACATTGAGTTATAGAACAGTTGAAATAGATGTTACCTCTCACCCAAAACATATTGCTGATTTTGATTATTTTTTCTTTTTATCATATTTTTTTAAAAAACCCTTTATTTAGCTATTGAAAACTTTCCATTCATGTGTGGGAGATGACCTTTATAGTGCTGATTTTTTGTCTTTTTTATGCCTTTTTTATGTGAAGGAAGGACTGTATTTACTGCTACCTTCTTATTACAGAAAATGCTTACTGAATAGACAGGTTTCACAAGCAGTTCCTCTATCCTAATAGTACTGCATCCTCTTATAGAGGGAAGTGAATAGAATGAAAATGCCAAATTATAACTTGTCTGCAATGCTATATTTTAAAATAAAAGAGAAGTTACTGACGATCCTCCCTTCCACTCGTCGCCCTCCACCCTCCCACCCCCCCAAATATTGGTCCTTTTCTCACATTCACTTAATTGTGTCACCACTGCATAACACAAATTTACAGCTCTCATGATTTACTAGTAATTAATATTGCTTCCAGGGGAGTAAATATGTTAATACTTTTTTTTAAGGTATAAAATGGATTGCTATACAGTATGTATTTTTTTTTTTGGTCTGTGTAATTTTAGTATATATTTTTTTGCATATATTATATTTGGTATGTATTTTTAGTTTTAAAAAAGGACTTATATAGGTAATCCTTAATAGAAAAAAAGTCTTAAGTAAAATAATTATTTTCTGCAGAAAGAGTTAAAGATCTGCCTTAAAATAACTTTCATTTTAAGTGTTTGCAGAAATTCAATGACTGTGAAGGTTTTAGGTATGTAATTTTTTTTTTGATGCCCTAGAAATCAACAGATTTTTCTGTCTTGGAGAGTGAACAAAAGAAAACAAAGGGGAAGAGAGCAAAAAGAAAAAAAGAAGAAATTCCAGATGTAGATGAAGAAATTGAGTCTATCTTGCTTAAACAGAAGGGTGAGAAGTTATTTTTGGCATGCTGTTCCCAACTGAGAGATGGGATGGTGGGTAACTCTGGAATCCATGACCAGAGGAGTGCTACTTTTTCCGAGGTGCAATTGAGTGACCTTGAGTGTTTTAAGAAATTTAAGTTTTCTGTTGTACTAGCATATATTCCAGTCCCTTATCTGCTAGAAAATAATTTTGTTCTGTGTTCTTGATTGTTTAGGCCGTATTCTGTCCTGTTTTGTCTTGGCAGCTACCATTATGCAATGCCCAAATTCATATGATTTATTTTTTCTCCCTTAACAGTTAAAAGTAAAGGACCAGAACTCTACCACCCTTCAGTGAGGTTTGAGGATGTAGGAGGCAATGATGAAACTCTGAAGGTGAGTTATAATTTTAATTCTGGAGCAGAAAAAGTATTGAATAAAATAATGCATGGGAAATTAATTTTAAAAAAGGAAATCTGGAACTCATCTGCATGGAACTGAAAGTGGTTGCATGTACCATCAGAAACGGATTCTGTTCCCCCCCCCCCCTCCATTAATGTTTCCAAAGGTAGTCACTGAAATTTTATGAAGAAACAGAACTTTTGTTTTGGTCTTTCTGTAATATTAGTAATCCGTGCTCCCAGTTTCCGCAGTTTAAATGTATGTCCATCCTGTCTTTAACAGGAAATCTGTAAGATGCTCATTCATGTCCGTCATCCTGAAGTCTATAACCACTTAGGGGTGATCCCACCTCGTGGTTTTCTTTTACATGGACCCCCAGGATGTGGAAAGACACTGCTTGCACAGGCAATTGCTGGGGTGAGCTAACCTTAAACTTCTTCCTTTTTACTTTTTGAATTAAATTTAGGGAAAAAAAAAACTTCTTTTATGGCCTTTTTCTCTGTCTCTTCTCTCAATCCTATCTTACTCTAAAATACATTAATTTTTATTTCCTTTTTTAAATTATATCGGAATCTGTACTTGATAAAACCCTGCACTCTCTTATATGGTACTTAGCTTTGCCAGGAGCCTTGCCAGGAGAACAAGATCAGCATGGGTATTGAGAAGGCAATACATAAAAAATATTTCTGGTTAAAACAGTCTTGTCTTTCAAGGCTGGACGTCTTTTATGAGGTATAACAGTGATTCTAGAGGGTGGCATCTGTTAAACAGTAATTTCTGAATTCAGAAACTTGTGGCTGCCTTGCCGCTGCCTAACTAACTATTTCAAAACACATGATATCATCAGTGTAAATAACTTGGAGTATGGTGGAACTGTTTTGAGCCTGTTTTGGGTATAAATTTAGGCCTGTTTAGATCTGTTTGCTGATATTCATGGTCATACTTTTCCACTTGTTTTTAATACAGCCATTCTTTAGAAATTACAAAATATATGCATATATGAAAGTGTGTATATCAAAGCCTATCAAAGTGTTTTTTTGTTGGTGAGTTCTTTAATAGCGGAAGACCTTGAATTAGGGGTTTGCAGGTATTTGGTTGTACAACACTGCTAGGATACTTCTGGGGCAAGACTAAGGGAACCAGGCTTGCTGAGATCATCTCCATTTTGCTAATCAAGGTTTGTTGTAGAAGGAAATGGACAATTTTCTCAAGAAAGGAGGCAGGGCTTGTGCTGAAGTATATGTGTTGTGAAGGGTCTGGTCCAGGACCATTGAGTAAAGTTACTAGGCATTCTCCAGTGGAATTAAGGGAATCTTGTTTCTATGTCAATTTCTGTTCACTTGGTCAAATAACTCAGATTTGTTTATAAAAGGACGATACTACTCATCTTTTTAAAAGCACTTTAAGGCTTACTCTTGTTTACATGATCTTTGGGTACAAAAGATTTTGTATAGGAAAATACTTCTCCGTTAGTATTAACTTCTGTTTTTATGCTCTGCTTATATCCTACAATGTCCCTTGTCTCTTTCAGGAACTTGAACTCCCAATGCTGAAAGTAGCAGCAACAGAGATGGTGTCCGGAGTGTCAGGGGAATCTGAGCAGAAACTGAGAGAATTGTTTGAACAAGCTGTGGTGAGACATCTGTGGGAAATAACACTGAATTATTTGCCATTTTCTTTGTAAAGATTCACATGGCAAGATTCACATGGCTTGATTTATAAAAAATAAATAGTAGCTGCAGTTTACCATCTTTTATTCTGTTGCAAACTTTCTTTTTGGTCTGGCATTAAATTTTAGTGAAGATCTTGGGGATTTTTTTAGGCAGAAAATGAGAAATTTATACAAGTATTGGAAGGCAGGAATAAAGTTACAGTTAAGTTTTCTCTATCTTAATATCAGCATTGAATACACAGGAGAACTTCTAAGCTACTGTGTGACAATTCTACAGCTTTGTAGAGTTATCATGACTTAGTTGCATTTGTTCTTTATTCAATTGAGGAAAAAAGTGAACGACAACTAGATGGCGCAGTTAGCATCTGATAACATAGGAAGTAGGTGTTTAAACTGCTATTTTTATGTGAGAATTTAGACTTTTTTTGAAAAGGATTTCGGTGTTTTCCTCAAATATTCCTTTGCACTATTTGCACTTCTTCATGATCTTGTATCATGTAAATATTCTTTTATGTTAGTTAGACTGATTATTGTTATGTTAGTATTAGCTTTTTATGAACAAGTAATACATTAAATGTTAGAACCCCTGTAGGAGTTGCTTACTGCCCACTTCCTACAGCTCTTTTTTTTTTCTTTGATTACGTATGTGTGAAATACTAACTCAAAGTTCTACAGCTCTAATGTTGTTTAAAAAAAAAAAAAAGAGAGACCTTTTTCCGATTTCTTTTTTGGACTAAAGTTAACAAGCAGTCAAGAGGGAGCAGTATTTGTAGAAGACATAAAGCAACATAGGAGTACATCTGAATTTTAACCAAATATAGAGACATATTGAATCCCATGCCTTAATTGTTTCACAGCCTCAGCTCAGCACAATTTAATAGTTTGGCTGCTCTCCTGACAAGTGAATGAGAAGAACAAAATTATATTGGAGCAGTTTGATTGTTCAGTGAATGCAACAGACTTAAAGTTTTAAAACCAAGAAAATGTGTGATTTCTTTCTCTCTTCTAATACATAAGCTCAGTGGAATTTTGTAATTATTAATATTTTCTTTTTCCTAGTCCAATGCGCCGTGCATCCTTTTTATAGATGAGATTGATGCAATCACCCCAAAAAGAGAAGTTGCATCGAAGGACATGGAGCGAAGAATTGTTGCCCAGCTTTTAACTTGCATGGACGGTCAGTCTCCAGAACAGCTCTGCTAAGCTTAACTTTCTAATCAACAGTTTCACCATTTTATTCCCTTTAGTATTGACCTATGCTTACTTTTGTGGCAAATGTGGAAATATGGGTAAACAGGAGTTGAATGTGATTTTCAGTTACCTTGTTTGTACTCTTATGAGTATTATTGTGTGCTGCAGAAAGAGGATAACATAAATAGCACAAGGACATTGAAAAGGTGAGTATAAGCACGAACTACCTTCCTTTCTTCCTTCAGACTTGAATAATGTGGCTGCCACTGCCCAGGTTCTTGTGATTGGAGCAACTAACAGACCTGACTCACTGGATCCTGCACTGAGACGAGCTGGGAGATTTGATCGAGAAATTTGTTTAGGGATTCCAGATGAAGTGGCAAGAGAAAAGTATGTGTTAGAAAATTTAAGCTTCTTTTTGGTTGGAAATTGTTTTAAGCTGGCATATAAATTAAGGAAAAGTGCTTTATTGTGTTTAAATGTGTTTAGTGCCTTGCACACATCTTTAGTATGTCAGCATATACTAAAAAGAGCATAAGAAACTAAGTGGTATTTGCTTTGTCTTAGCAGCTGCATTAACATTTGATGTGGTTTCCTTTTTTATGTGCAAGGTTGTCCTTACCATTATTTTTAGTGGGTTTTAAAGTACCTTAAGAGTACAGATAATGGATTTTAATGTATAATTTGTATAGTTTGTATACAATAGAATTGTATAATGTATATTTTTATAGTAAGAATTAGGCATTCTGTCGTCAGTGCTTCCTATTGCATTATGGACCCAAGTTAGGTATAGACCCTTTGTTAGTGCTTTTGAGCATGTTGCTTAAGCAACATGCCTGGAATCTTCTTTTTCACTCATTGAGGAAATGTATCTGTCCAGGCATTTACCTGGGCTGAAGTCATCCTGTTCCGTGTAACCTATCCTTTTTACTACAAAGATCTGTGATTAGTCATGACTGGTCATTTACAATTTTTTTTTTCTTTTTTTCCTTTTCCTAATTAAAAAGGAACTGCTGCTCATTTCCGCAACAGTAAAAAACACATAAAGGAAAGAGTATAAACAGCTGTGGCTTATCTTCTAGTTAGCAGAAGGAAAGAAAGGTTATAGGATAAGTTCCTTCTAACTCAGCTATTCTTACTTCTAGCTTGAAAAAAACAAACTATTCTGCTGGAAGCATTACTTACCTCAGCAGCTTGTTAGCTGTCAGCACTGATAATTACTTGCCACCCTTCCCACCCTTTTTTAAAAAAAAGTCTTGTAATAATTGTGTTCCTTTCTAAGGTTATGGGAAAACAAATGGTGAGAGGTGCAGCTGAAGAGTTGCTCCTGAGAGCTTTGATTCTGTGATACTCCTTGGGCTTATGTTAAAATTACAATATTCCCAGTACTGTTGCAAAGACTAAGAGTTGTGAATGAGTAAGCCATGGCTGGGTAGCAGCTTTATTTTTAAATTTTTAAATAGTTCAGACTGTTCACAAGTTGACTGTTCACAAGTTGAAGTGTAGTTGCATTCTTTCATATTATTATTCCTGGCTATGTAGGCTTACCAGAACTTTTGATTTTACTGAGGGTTTTTTGCATATTCTTTGTTTTGTTCTTTTTTTAAGGAAAGGATCATATATAAAAAATCTCATGTTGATGTATTAAATTTAATTGATTTACTAAGTTTAAGACAATCAATAAATCTGTCTTGTGGAAGGGATATTTTGAACTAGTTACTTGTTAGTGTTGCTAGTTAGAATTTTTTGATGAGGGGAAAGGAGCAAAAGTGTTTGTAGAAATCTTGTTTTATTCAGAGGGTTTTCTTATGCATGTACAAAGCCAGCTTGTTTAAGAAAATAATGTATATAGAACACAAATTTAGAATTAACCACTCAGAATTCTATTTTACACCCGAGTCTTCTGATTAGCTGCAGCTGTTGTCAGGCAGGTTTCAAAATCCTTGGAAACAAAGCTGCTATCTCTAATAAAAATTCAGATGGCAGGTGATGGATCCTGGTAGTAGAGAAGCATATAAAATATACTATCATATTAGTATCTTGAATTTTTTAAATAAATACTTCCAATGAAAACATTTCTGCAGTTAGTTATTGATCTGAAAATAACTTTAACTATTTTTTTTTCTTTGAAACAAAAAATGTGCTAGTGATCTTTATTTCTATGGCTTGTGTTGCTTTTTAAATTAAAATATTTTCCTAATGAAGTGATGTTTTGCTGTTTGGAACAATTTGAAACCTGTGCTGAAACTTCTTCAGCACTAGTATTAGGATGTTGACACTGGGTTTTGTCTTTTTCTGACTAGTGATGTAATTTTCAGTTGTCCCTGTCTGGGAATTGTTAGCGGACCTAGAAGGAGTTTTTTAAAGCTTCAGCCTATGTATGGAATGAAAAACAAACCAAATTCCAATGAAAATGATTGTAAGGAAGTATAGGACTTTATTTTTGATTTTACAGAGCTGTTTTATATTAATGATGGAAACATACTGGAGATTAAAAGACAGAGATCCTTTCACAGTCTGATTTCATTTATTTGTTCCTCAAGGCAATGGGTTGTTATGGATGTTCTTCAATAGGTAAATAGAAATGAGGTGAAGCTGGAAAGCTGGATTGTGTGGGAAGACAGGGCGGGCAAACATCTACCTGAATAGCCTGTTTGAGCCTCTATACCAGACTCCCTGAAACAAAGCTCTCCGTTCAGAATCATGAACTAAGGCTTAAAGAATCTGTAATATTTGGATTCAGCAAAACTATTTTTATCTTTTACCCACTGAATGAGGTTGCTTAGCTGGTATTGTTGGCTTTCATTTAAGCATCAAAAGGAAATACATAAAATACTTTTGTGGGTTTTGGTATCACATTCTAGTTGAGTGCAGGTTTTTCCCATCGCACTACTTCCCTTCATGTGGGCTGAGGGAGACCTTCTATCTTAATTTTTGTATGAAAACAAACAGCATTGGTTTAAAAAGACCGCAGCTTCACCCTTGTTTATTTGTTCATTTTTGCTGTTCTTCTTCTCTCTGCTTTCTCAGAATTCTAAAGACTCTGTGTCGAAAACTTAAGCTCCCCGAGTCCTTTGAATTTCGTCATTTAGCCCATATGACTCCAGGTTACGTAGGGGCCGATCTGATGGCGCTTTGTCGTGAGGCAGCTATGTGCACAGTGAACAGGATCCTGATAAAATCTGAGGAGCACAAACGGAAATGCATACAGGCTGGCGGAAACACAGCTGAAGAAAGCATGGAAATTGGAACAGCAGTCCTGGTGGAAGAGGATACCAAACAACTAGAGCTTCCTTCCGAGGTATTTTGTACTTTCAAATATATGTCATTAAATTTCTTAACAACCAATTTAGGCTTTTGAAGGTCTTTGCTTATAAATCTTCAATCCAGCTACATTTGATGCTAAATTTAGATTTAGAAATAAAAGTTTTTAAGACAGATGGCCCACTCTTACTGGCCCACATGACGAGTCTGAACAGGAGGCTCCACAAAACTGGGCCTTCTTAAAACCATACTAGACGTTTATGCAGGGAGGAGCAGACCAGGTGCTAAAACAGTAGCAACAACTCTCTTTAAAAATATATTAGTTACTTGGGGTAAATCACAAACAATACCTGGTAGCTGTAAAAAAGTGTGAGGAAGAGGTGTTTTAAATACTATCCAGAAGAAAAGTTAGATTAGCAATGTCATCTGAGCTGCAGAAAGTATCTGTTAATGTGCGGTACACCTGGAACTTTATTGCAAGAAATAGTGTTTTTGGTGCTGGGATTATTCTGCAGCCCATTTGACATGCTATGGTTAGTGGATCAGAACATCTTTATGTAGCCTATTGTCCCTACTCCTCAAAATTTTGGGTATGTTTGTGCATATTACTTGCTCTGTGCCAGCACTATGTATGGGCTTCTTGAAGATTTGTCTGGAGAAGTAAAACATCTAGCTTTAAAAGCTGATATTTCAGGCTGTTTTAAAATCCAGTGTACTCATATTCTGTTTTTAGAAGGACTGTCAAAGAAAACTTGATTTAAGTAGCATAAACATTGAAAAAGCTGCATAAACCCCTTTTTGTTAGTGTAGTATAATTGTACTACATGCCTTTTAGTGATTCCTGAGGCCTGATGTAGCCAAGAAGTGGTGGGGGGGCGGGGGGCAGGTAGTTACAGCCTTTTACCAACATCAGCGTGATCAAAGCGGTTGTTGAGGATAAGGAAATCTAATCATAACAGAGCCATGTTTTGATAGCTAGCAGGAGGTCAACATAGTTTAACACAGGGTTTTGTCATTAAAACAGTAATATTATGTTTATCATGGAAAAATAAACATACAAAGCCTTTAAAAATAATCCACACAGTTGAAGTAAACAAACCCAGTAGTGTTGGTTATTTCACGTTTTTCTCTTAATAGTTCTATGTAGAAGAGGGAGGGATTAAGAGGAAATATCAGGCTCTATGAACACTTCGTTTCTTTGCAGCTGGCTGTAATGCTAGCTTAGTTCCAACAAGTATGAAGTGATATTTTTCCCATTCCCTACTAACAGGACTTTTTGCCCTTTTTTCCTGCTCTGTCTTGTAATAAAAATCCTGGTACAGTTTTCCTTGTGATTCAGTGTCATCCCACTTTAACACTGCCTTTCCATATTAGACGTGGGGTGTGCTTATGTTGTGACAGTATGGTTTTAATTCCATCATGTACCTGGTAGGACAGGAATTCTAGTTCACATTAGGAAGCCCTTAAACAAGTTGGACATAACACAGGTCCAAGGGACCTGATGGGATGCACCCTCAAGGGTTGAGGGAGCTGACTGATATCTTTCCAAGACCACGCTTGATTATCTCTGGAGGGGTTTTGGGAGAGTGCCTGAGGACTGGAAGAAAGCAAAGGGCCTCCCTGCGAGACAGAGAGTTAAATCAGGAGCAGTCAGTGTGGATTTGCAAAGGGGAGATTGTGCTTAACCAACCTGGTTGATGCATATTTTTGTAGAGATGTGTTAGCAATTTCGACATGCAAAGGATTTCTCTTAAGCACTGTGGGAGAAGTAGTAGAAAGAATCTGAAGATAAAATACTTTCAGTAGCTCTGTTTGGGTAGTGTTTAAATCAAGACTGTAGTCTGTCAATCAAGTAATTTCACCAGTGTTAAGTATTTTATTACCTGTTTTGCTATGTATTATACACTGTTTGTTTTTATGTTAATTAATGTTACAAATAGAGAATGTGTTGCTTAGAAAAAAGGTACTGTTGTGTAGCCTTTCTCTCCTCTTCCTTGTACCCTAAGGATGAATTGCAAAGACTTTTGGATTTGCTGAAGCAGGAAGATCCCTTGCCTGAGGAGCAGCTGCAAAAGCTGTACATTGAGATGAACGATTTTATTGTTGCACTGTCGTCAGTGCAACCCTCTGCCAAGAGAGAAGGCTTCGTCACAATTCCTGACGTGACGTGGGCAGATATTGGAGCTTTGGAGGATGTTCGAGAGGAGCTGACCATGGCAATACTGGTATGCCTTAATGTTGCTTTCAAAGTTTTTGCACCTTTTCCAAACAAGGAAATAAAATTATTTGGAAGTTGCCATTGTTTTAAAATATATTTATTTTCTTGTTTGTTTATAATATCCTGCCTGTGAGTTTTAGCATGCTGTGAGTTAGAAATTTTGCAACATCTTCATTTGTTTTAAGTCTGCTGCATGTATTTAAAATTTCCCTTACTGCATCCATGGCTTCTGTTTTCAGTATGTCCGTTATTGCTGAATCTTAAGTGATCTAGAAGTTTTGTGCCAGTAACATTAGGTGTACTATTGTTGTATGAAGAATTGGAGACTGCTTAGCTGGAAGATAGTCAGGTTGACACCTTGACGCTGACACCTTAAGATGACAACTTAGATAAATAATAAAGGCTTTGATTCTGAATAATGATGCTTCTTCCAATTTGAAGTATTTATTATTGAAAAATAATATGATGTTGATTCATTGTGTTTACTGCTCTAACCTTTTGAGATTTAGAAAAAAAAAAAAAAGAACTTGCTTCTGAATGAGTTTTTGTCCAGCCGTAACAGAAGCCAAAAGTTTCCTCTTGGCTTTCTGTCATGTAACTGTGACACTTCCTTTTATAGGCACCTGTGCGGAATCCAGAGCAGTTTAAAGCTCTGGGCCTGACTACTCCAGCTGGTGTTCTCCTTGCAGGGCCTCCTGGGTGCGGTAAAACTCTGTTAGCTAAGGTAATATTTTCTCTGAATATACTCAGAAGTACTGGAGAATCTTGCAAAGTGAACATTTTTGTAGGAGTGACTGGATCTAGATATTGACAGAACCAGAAGTTGAGCTTTTGCATTTATCATCAGAAATTTAAAATCAAGGCTTTTTGCTGAAGTGGTTTTTTTTTCTTTCTTTTTTTGGTCATATAGTCACTTCTTTGTCAAGTTGAGCTTTTGCATTTATCATAAGAAATTTAAAATCAAGCCTTTTTGCTGAAGTGTTTTTTTTTCTTTCTTTTTTGGTCATATAGTCACTTCTTTGTTCGAATGAGAAAAACATTACAAAGCCTGTAGGCTTTGTAATAATAAAGAAATAAGAATAATAAGAAAGGAGTAGCAAACCTGGGATTACTGGCTTCTTTATTAAGTATCCACTTCTCTGCAATTGTTGTGTAACTAAAAGATGTAGCTGGAAGTGGTCTGCACTTCACTGTTCATATTAATTATATTTACTGCAAATAATTTGGCTTGCTTTCTCATAGGCTTCCATTGTCAATATGTATACTCACTGAGGTTTACAGATTGCCTTGCATCTTTGTTTATGTGGTTGAGTTTATCTCCTATCAATCATAAACCATTAATCATACTTGATAACAATTTCATGACACATCTGGACCACAGCTTCATTAAGCAGATAGAATACCTTGCTAAATCTGCCACTCCACTCCCCCTAATTAGCTGTAGTTATACTTTTACTGTATTTTATAAACAGTTGACAGCTATGCTCTTTCTGAGTTTTTTGTAGCTCTATGAACAGAACGAAAAAATACACATTCTGCACCATATCAGCCTCTGAAATTTCATCAAAACACAGGAAAAGGAGGTTCCTTTGAGACTCCAGAGTGTTTAATGCTAAAATGGGTGTGTGCTCTATATATCTTTTTTTTTTCTGATAGGCTGTGGCAAATGAGTCTGGACTGAACTTCATATCTGTGAAGGGTCCTGAACTACTAAATATGGTATGCTGATTTTTGTGTTTTTCTTATTTATGGAATTTTTGCCTGAAGCCTGAAACAAACAACATTCCTGATAATTACACAACTGATACTGATACAGCAGAAGTTGCCTCATGTAACTGCTGCTTAAAATGTTTAGCAGTGAAGCAGTTCACACGTTATATGAAAAGCTACCTGGCTGGCTTATGTTTATTTTGGTTTAGATTATGTGTCCCGTGAGCTATTAGACAGATGGAGCCTGCTTGTTTGAAGTAAGATTTCTAAGTGACCAGGTACCTGCGTGGCTGTGTGAATTGGGAAAAAGAACAAAAAGTTCAAATGAGCAGTGAAAACAGTTGGTGATCAGTAACTGCAAATCAGCACCTTACACTTAATATTCAACATTCAAACTTGGAAATGTGTTCCAAACACTTTAACTTCTTAATGGACATTTGAAGCCTTGGAAAGCAGGGCCATTTTAGTTTATGAACATGATATTTAAGGATTTTAATGTTAACCTGATAAAAGTGCTATAGTCTCAAACTTTGAAATGTGGCGAGTAAGTGTTAGTCCCTTTTACAATTAAGAGAACACCTTGAACTGAACAAGGTGGCTACAACCCACATCCTAGCTTGCAAGTTTCTGAGATTTACCTGTTTAACAGTAATATGGAAACTAAAACGCTGAATTTGAGCATTTTTTATTTTTCCTAGGCTTTTGTTTTGTTTTGTTTTCTAATGTATACGTCAAGGGTTGATATCGGGTAGAGAACTGTACCTCTTTAAGTTAATCAGAACTCCTACTTCCTTGAGGAGAACAAGTTAAATATTTGGCTGTGATTGTATGTTTGCATGTTTATTTGGCAAAAAATCAAATGTTCCTGTTCGCAGCTTGGCAACCTCTTCTCCCTCCCCAAAGTATTCAGGCAATTATTCTATAAACTTAACATTTTCATTGTGTTCAAATTGTTCACTGCATTTTTTATGAACAGTTAAAGTTCAACAGGTCCTTAATGAAGAATGTATTTGTTAACTCCCTTAATAAGAATGATGAGAAGTTACTTATTCCCCAGACAGGAGGAGTTCTCTTAAGTTATGGGCATGACTGAGTACTATCCAAATGAGCTAGTGCCAACTAGTTCACATGTAAATCTAGTTTGATGTAAAAATAGATATAGCAGACTTAAGTAAATTGTTTAGCACGTTGCCTTCCCACTTGGAAAGCACCTCAAATTGTTTTTTTTTTTTTTCTCAAGCAAAATCATCGTATCTTACATCATTTCCTTGTAATTTGTCTTCTGCTTTAGTATGTTGGTGAAAGTGAACGTGCTGTACGCCAGGTATTCCAGCGTGCCAGGAATTCAGCCCCTTGTGTCATATTTTTTGATGAAGTTGATGCTTTGTGCCCGCGGAGGTCTGACCGTGAAGTGAGTTTGAAAATATCTCCATAAGTAAATTGCCTCAACTGTTGTTTTTTATGGTCATGTGCTTGCAACAGAAGTAACTGAAAAGGGTACTGTGTATGAGCTTTCCTTGGAAACTACTATTTGAGCAAAAATGTGTTGGTAAAATTTTATGAAGTTTAATACTTTTGCTAGTATCTGTGTAGATATCTAGAAATGTCCACAACTTTGACTATGTCAAGTTGTAGTAAAAGGTGAGGGAATGCAGTTTATTATTATGATTAATTTACAGCTATATTGTGATTCTTGTATACAACAATAGTACTTGCTTGAATATTTACTGTTCTGGACAATGTGAACAAAGTTATGAAAGTATTTGAGACAGGAACATACTGGGAGGTGAAACATAAGTGGAAGTAAAACCCTGAGGTTTTGCGTGTCAGGGCTGTTCCATTTCCAAATCTTTCTGCGTTGATTGTGTTTTGGGAAAAAAAATAGCCCAGGTACTGTCTGTGCTTTTAATTTTGCTTTTGAGGAGTTTTATTTTGCTAACACATATGCTTAGTGTATTTAAAGAATGCTGCTGTTTTAAACGCTTGCTCTTCCATTTATTCTTTTTTTTTTTATTATTTCTATTTTCCCTTTTGAAGTCAGGAGCCAGTGTCCGAGTAGTTAACCAGTTACTCACTGAGATGGATGGCCTGGAGAATCGTCAGCAAGTCTTCATTATGGCTGCCACCAACAGGCCAGGTAAGGACCCAAAAATCATAACCAAGCTAGTCCTAGGAAATTGGTGGCATTAATTTTATTCTCATGGAATCATGTGTCCTTACTTGTTTAATTACATAATTTTAAGTACGGAATAAAGTTATGATGTCTTTTCAAACCCAGACCTGTTCTCAGCAACTGTGTTAGCATATTAGTCAGTTCTACATTCATGGAAATAACAATATGAGGTGAAGGAGCATCTTTAAATGTCTCTTAATTAGTACCTGGTCCCATTGATGTAAAATGCTTTTAAAAACCTCTGGCTAAACTGGATTTTGAATTATCTCCTTAGAATATAAACGAACAAAAGTTAAACTAAAACAAAATTAAATACATTTTCCTGCTTATGTTGGTTTTGTGTCCAGAAACAGTTTTATGTTATTTTTTTCCCTTGAGGCATCTTTGTCATTTTTTTTCCCAGTTTGTTTTTTATCTTTTTGCTGCTTAATCTCAGGTTCCAATTTTGTTCCCTCTTCCTGAGTTTATTCTGCTCTTCCCTCAAATTCTGTTAAGCTTCGATCCTCAGTGCTTTCTGTGCTCCCTTTCTGTCTTCTCAGTATTTAGTGGCTTTTGCAGTTCCTGCAGCATCTTTTGAGTTAATGAACTAAACACTGAAGTCCACTTTTATGTATTTTACAACCAATTCTCTGTCTTTCTTTTTCTCATACCATGGAAAGGTCTTGTGTATTACATGACAAGAAGCTTAACTTGTCCTGAATTTACACTGTACCTAGACACTGTTTCCTGCCAAGGGAATTTGTTTTGACTGTGGAAAGAAACATGCATAAAGAAATAGCATTTCCTTAGTTATGAATATTCTTCATTCAGCATACTGTTGTGAGTGCCTGAATTTTGGAAGGAAGTTTTGTGCCCAGAGGAAGTGTTTGGTAAATTACTGGAAAAGATGAAATGTGGTTTGGGTTCCATAATTCATGTATTCTATAAGGATAAGATGTAGAAACCCAGTCAGAAGTGACTTAACAAGGGAAAATAGCATAACTACTTTGGATGTGAATTTCAGGAGGATGAAGTTAAAATACTTGACAGATTGTTTGAGACATACAGACTAAGGAAATCTGTGCTGAAATCACAGAATAGGCAACAATGAGGGTTTTTTTGTTTTGTTTTGTTTTTAAGTCTTGAAAAATTCAAACCTTCATGAGGAAAATCTTCCTGTCTGCTGCACCATGACAGTCTGTTAAGCCTCCTGCATGGTGAGATATGAGTAGTAGATGCTAAGTCTGTATGTGCTTGTAGAAATTCTTTGATTTTAATGCAGCAAGCTTTCATTGCACAAGTGTAATTGTTCCAGGCAATCTATTCGGTTCTAGATGCAGAAATTGAAACAAGGTATATGACTATAAAACATGTATATACAGCTACAGTTGGGTATACGAAGACTGTTAGTAGTAATGTCATGATGTTGCCTTAGAAAACAGAACTCTTTCTGAATTGATTATACTAGTGTATAACCTGTATTGAGCAGCTTTATTTAATTGTCAGCATTTCTGAAGGGCTTGTTTTCATTAGGGGTGTGTATCTAATTCCTGATTACAATAGAGTCATAATTATCTCTGGTGACTTGGGTTAAGATCTCCAGCACGACTTTAGATGAGGAAACATCCAGCCTGACTTTCTGCAGTGCCGGCTTGGGAGTACCACAGGTATAAATGGGATGAACACTTGCAGGGCCAGCATATGCATGGCACTGTTTTGAGCTAAGGCCTCCTCTCAAGAGACTCTTGAGCATCTTTGTCTAGGTGTGCAGGAACAGTGAGTATTGCAGCCTGGGAATGGGCTGAATCCCTCTGGATCCAGCTGGCTGTTTCTGTATGGTGCTTCCCAGATTTCTTGCAGCACTCGTGTTACATGACTTATATTATCTGGGATATGCCAACCTTTTTATGAGAGAAGACCTTGAAGACGTGACTGATTTTGAAGTAGTTTAATAGTTTTATAAGGGCCACTTCAGAGTGACTGCCAGTATTTGTAGCAGTCCAGTTTACCCTAATTCCCAGTTTTAGTTGGTTTACATTAGAATAGTTAAAGTTTTATTTTCCCCACAGCTTAAAACTGATAGCAGATTTATTTTTGTAAAAGTTTTTACCAACTTGGAATTGTGTAATTCTTGTTTTGCCAGGAGGACAGGCACCACGGACTTGCTTGTCTGTCAGATAAAATTTGCAAGTGGTAATTCTTGTTCTGGGGGTTCTGAAACAAGTCTTTATCCTTGCAAGCAGAATATTTGAATGTTTCTTGCACTTAATTGATGACTTTGAGTCCTCTGTAAATCATTCTTGACTACTGCTGAATTCACAGGGATGTAGTATTCCCAACTCAGCCTCTTTGCATTGAATGTAGAGCCAATGACAACCGTTGTCTAAAGATAATTGAACATTTAAAGCCCTCAGCTCATTAAGAATAAAGGGAGCAAAAATAAAAGAAGCAGAAATGATGTCTTGTTAAGACTTTATGGGTCAACATGGTTCTATTTTTTTCAGTCTGTTTCCTTCCTAAAATCTGAAAGTAAATACCTGAAGAAACATTGAACACTTATGTTCCCACATCTTTTTTTCATATACCAGTGTGAGTTCAGTACTGGGTGCTGCTGCTGTCTTCCTCTTTTCATAACTCTCCAGGCCTTGCACATTTACAAACTCTTTGGAGAAGTGCTGCAAAGCATCGGCAGTTACTGTGGGATCCACCAAGCCTATGTGTAACCTGAGCAGACTAGAGATCAGTGCAGCACTACCAGCTGGTAGTGGTTTAAGCCAGGCTTAAACTGTAATGGTAGTTTAAGCTTGCTTTTACTCACTGTCTTTTCTCTAGTCTTACTAATTCTTGTGAAATGTCTTCTTTTAATGCTGCCTTAGAGCGTGATCCTAGTTTCAGCAAGTGCTGTTTCCTTTAGCTGTATTGTTAGTTCTCCAGAGTTGTTGGCATGAACCACATGTTTTTAAAGCATAATTTAAAAAAAAATATATAGTTTTTCATTTATTCTCTGGCAATAGTAACTCAAAAAGTCCTCATTTTAAGTGTCTAGTTTGGATAGATCCCAGTGTTACTGCATGGACTGAACTCTGTTACCACAACATGTTTGACAAATCAGAATTATTGAATCTAAAGTTTTGTTTCAGTTTTGGTGGATAGATCTGTTCTGGTTTGTGAAAGTCGTTATTTAGCTACTCTTGGCCAGTAGTATCCAAACACTTCTAGGTAAAGTGAGGGCCATCTTGTTTTCTACCAGAAGAAATCTGTTCTGTGGAGTGTGTTTGCTCAGTAAGGGTTTGGGGAGATAAAAGGGGTAGTTTGTATTTTTTCTTAAAGACGTGTTTGAAAAAATGCACTTAACATGGGGCAAAGAACAATTTCTTTCATAATGGTCCTTAATTCACAAAAATTTCTTTTTTTCTTTTCCTTTTTTTTTTTTTTTTTGGCTTTTACCAACCCTTGAATGCTACCTGCCTTTCACAAGTAACCTCAGTAATGCAGAGTTTGGTTGTGCTGGAGCCGTTAACCAAGGAAGTCATCCTGGATTTTTAGGAAACCTGTTAGGTCATCTGAGCCTAGGCTCCTGAACACCATGAATGTGAGGAATTGGATTTCATTTGCCCCAAAGGTGATTTAAACAGCTGTTGTGAGTATAGAGAAATTTGAGGGACTCAACACAATAGCCTTTGTTGCTGGGATGGAATGAATTTTCCTAAATGTAGTTGACTGATAATTGAGGTAAGACGTGAATAACCAACTGGAAGCGACTGTGAGACTAACGGATTTTATCATAGGACAACATAGTGTCACGTTATAGGAATACTAGCAAAATAGGTACAGTGAAGGGTTTGAAACAATCTTGCAGTAGTATAGGGTCCAGTTTGGTAAACTGAAGCTATATTTGGTAATATGGCTCTCTAGAGGATAGTGCTTGTCTGAAATGAAGAACAGCCAGGAATTTAAGGAGCAAGGAATGAATGTGCTCATTTAATGTTGTCTTATAGAAATTTATTTGGAAAATAGTATTGTCATTTTCCAGTGTTGGTGTCAATACCACTGACTATATCAGAAAGCTAAGACAGAACATCATTACCAGCCTTTTCTCTTAATATAAATACCTTATTTCCTTGAGGCAGCTGCTTGAAAAATAAGTACTATGTGTCATGAGGTTTCCATGCCTCATTTTCAAACTTGGGAGATAATTGTTCCACTTTTAAACTTGGGAGATAATAGTAGGCTTTGAAAGAGATCTATATCAATTTCATTAAAATGCTAAAATTAATTGACTCTTCTCTGTTTACGCAAGTCTCCAGATGATAAATAGTGAGAGAACATTGTAATTTAGCAGGATAGAGTGATTTGAAATCCCTAAAAAGGAAGCATTATTCAGTTGTTTGAAGCATATGGAGTGCATCTAAGGATTGGCAAATAAGTAAAAGTAATTTCTTTGGTGTGTTACTTCAGTTTCTCAATGATTTAAGAACTGCTTCAGGCCCAGAGACCCAGCCCTAAAGCAGCAAATTGAATGAAAGTGCCCCTAAGAGATGAGGTTAGAGCTGTGGTTTAAATTACAGCACAGTCCTCTCCCTGTTGACCACCCTGCTGCAACCTGTCGGGTTACTGCACCTCACTGACAGGCAGCAACTCTCTGAATCTGGATTCTCTCATGGGCAAATGGGTGAATGTGTCTTTAGATTGGATCACTAATTTAATATCCTGGGGCGGGTAGAATGTAAATTCTTTTCGTGTAAAATGGAAATAGGTTTTCTGTATCATTCCAAAAATTCTTACAGAGCTTTTGAAACTTTAGACTGGAAAATGATAAGCGTGTGGTATTGTAATGCAGTCCCTGTTGGGAGTATTTTTTTTCTTGAGTGCAGGTGACCTATTGAGCAAACCTCAGAGAGGCGGAAATAGGAGCATATATGTCAAAAGCACAAGATAAGGTATCACTATGCATAGAGCTACAAGAAAGACAGTCTTCTCTGGCCCTGTCTGCATGTCTCCTGTTTAACTCTATTTTTTCACTGGGTCTGGACTAAATAGCGCATCAACTTCAGGGTTTCTTTTCTTTTTTCATACACTTTTTTGTTGCATTCACGATAGCTAATTTTGCCTGCAGAGATGTCTCTGATCATTACTGTTATGTCTTGAAAAACAATAGCTTTGGCACGAGAAAAAGCCAGTAAAACTTTTAGGTATGAGGTGAGAGTGTAACGTGAACAAAACCGCATACATGTTTAAAGGGAAGGAAGACTGGCTTGTGGCAGGATCAGGTAGCTAGAATCTCAATGGCAACCCTGTTAAACAAACTTTTTACTCGCCAAAGAAGGGGCGGATGTGCTTCCATCTTTGCTGTATTTTTTTTTCCATCCATGTAATGTTAGTTCTTCATTTATTTATACACACACACACACACACACACACACACACACAGATATATATATGAATGTGTGTAGTTTGTTTAGTAGCTACATTTTTTTTCAAGAGGATGTAAAAATTGCAAGGGTACCAAGAGCTTCATTTGAAGTACTTCTTCATTTCCTGCTTAACACTTAGGTTAATTTTCAGCATTAAATTTTGGAGAAGGTTCTTGAAATAGCTGTATTACACATCTATAGAACTTGCAGTCTAGAAAAATTTGATGTACTAAAAATGTATTTTTTGTCTTCTATTATTGTTTTAGTGACTTTACTGTTCGCGTTAGTATGTAGGACGTTGATTTTTCAGAATCTCTTTGTGAAGTAAATGATTCTATCTGTGTTTCTGAAGTTGGAGAAGTGGGACATCAAGAAGCCAAGTAACTTAGAAAACATCATCCAAGCAGTTGGTGTGGAAACATGGAGAGCAATTTAGTTGCATATTGAGGCCTGAGGCCAAAAGATTGCCAGAGATTTCTTTTACATTTAAGTTTTGAATGATTTTAAAGGAACAGTTTTTATAAGTTTTGGTTTCTTGCTTCTCCATGTACATAATCTGGAATCTGCACTGTTTCCTGGGAAACACATCTGTACTTCATAGCTCTATTTTGTGTTTTCATGAGTATCGAATATCATCATCTAGAAAACTAAAATGTAAGAGTGCAAATGACAAATAATATTAAATTTATATAAAGACCCTATGATTGGCCCTGCATACTTGTGATTCTTAATTTATCAATATCGTTTATGTCAATATCAGTAGTGCAACAATTAATATGGATAGAGCTCCTTAGGGTAGAGCAAACTGTGGAATTCCTCACTCAACTGTGCTGAGAATGATAGAAAAATATACTGTATTTCCAAAGAGTTGGCTTCATTTGTACATAGGTGGTGTTTGTGGGTCATGTTTGACCAGACATGGGTATTGGAGACTCCTACTTGGCACAGGTAAATCTGTTTTAAATAGCTCCTTTAGTGCTCTGAGCATCACATCACGGCTGCAGTGCTTCTTGAAATGTCTGTACAGTTGCAAAGAATGCCTGTATTCCTTCTCCCATACACCCTTCCCTAAAATGTCTCCTATTTTTCAGACTGTTTTGTCTTTTTCTTCCCCAAGATATAATTGACCCAGCTATCCTGCGTCCTGGTAGACTTGATAAAACACTCTATGTGGGTTTGCCGCCACCTGAGGATAGATTTGCTATTTTAAAGACCATCACCAAAGTGAGTATTTGGAAGTAAATCCTTATCTTGAAGCTTGGTGGAATGATGTAGTATGGGCTAAATTTTACAGAAGAACTGCAGAATCCTGTCACAAGAAACACCTTCAATTATTAAACAGATCATAAAAAAATACATCTTCAGCCACATCTGTTACGTTTTCTGCAAGATTGCTTGGATTGATAAATCTTGACTAAGGCAAACTTGTTGAATATGTATATTGCTGCCTTTGTAGTCACAATCTGAACAGTTTTAGTTAAAAGATTCCTAATGCAGTGAGTAATGGCCCTAGAAGTGTTTTGTACATTTTGGGGAGAGGAGGAGTTCCCACATGTTCGACAGAATGATTCACTGGTTCCAGCTGTATTTGCTCGATGGTAATCGTCACACCTAGTTCCCTTTGGATCAGTGGGAGTTGTGTGCATGGTAGAGGTGATAGGTCAAAGTGAATGTAAAAATTAAAAATACTCTCTTTGGGGATCCTCTTTGAATTAATGGCATATTCTGCACATAACTTGGAGCACAGAATTGTTTTTCAGTATTTTTGCAAGTACAGTACGGGAGTAATCAAGGCCTTAGACAAAGAATATACAGAGAAGAGAAAAAAAATAAAGCTGCTAAGGAAAAGCTAGTAAAGCTAATAAAGAAAAAGAATATACAGAGCACTGTAGATCACTCAGATATTTCATCCTTTTTCTAATAGAAAGTATAGATAGAGCAGTGTTCTGTCAGATTTTCATGAGCTGCAAAGGAGGCAAAGTCTTGGCTATAGAGAAGAGGTAGAAATTTAGTATGAATTTTGTGGAAAATGGATCATTTTTATGTATTTTCTACAGAAAGTCCCTCATACTTGCATAAGAAGAAAGTTGTATGTTAGGCATTAGTTAATGTCATGTGGGAATTTGGGAGGCGAGGACATATTTAAAGCATGTCCTCTCATGCCCTAATAGTTGTGTAAAGGTTAGACTTGTTAAACCTTCAGGATATTTGACTTGCCTTTAAAACATTAAAACATATGGCATTATTTCATGAAGAAAAAAAAGTAGTAAGGATGCCCATTGGCAATTAGCAGTAGAAAAGTTAGTAGATACATTTATTTTTGAAGGTAGATTATGAAGTATTCTTTGAAAATGAGGCTCTGACTTAATAAAAGTCAGCTGCTTCTGAAAGAAGTGGGTGGTGATGGTCAGTCACTAGCTTGCATAAACAGAGCACAAAGATTATCTGTGATCTAAGCAGTGTCCATCTCCTTTGTGTGTGTGTGTGGGGGGGTGTTGTTTGATTGTTTTTTAATATAGAAGCTTTGTACCTTGCTCTGTATTTTTTGCTGAAAAAATCTCCAGAGATTTGCAACCGTTTCAAATGCTCTTATTGTAGTCAGTGGTACAGAAAATTAATGTGGCAAAGCTTTGTGCAACCATTTAGAGGAGCAGGAGGTGATTTTAAACAAAATTGGTTCCACCCACGCTCCCTTTCTCATAGATTTTGCTCACACTCTCAACCACATGTGAATGCCATGTGAGCACATATAAGTGACGTGGCCAGGGTCACTTACATGCAACACGGAGTGCAAGAACTTCTGGCTGTTGAATTCTCTCAGCTTATCCTGCCTTCCTCTTGATGAGCAGTGACGAGCTAGTCACTCTAGTCTTCTCTAAAGAGAATCTTGCTTTAAGAATCAAGCAGAATCTCACTTCAGCTGCCATAAATCTTGGGCAAGATTACTGCCCATTGTTTTCCTTCCCTCATTTTTGAAATCATGAAGGCTACAGTCTATCTTCCTATTGCAATAACACCAAGAGGATGTGTTGTGAAAGAGTTTTCTTTCAGTAAAATTGTACAAGTCAGTCATTTCCAAAATCCATATTAATTAGACAAGAGGAGCAGGCCTTCACATGTCTAGTTTATCGTCATGACGTTCCTACCAGCTGTATCAGCTTCTCTGGTGCACGTACTGCTCAGCTTGTCTCCGTGTCTCCAGAGCAGCTAGACCGTCCCACTCATAAAATGCTCAGCATACATTTCTGTTTGAAAAGTAGTACATAAAACATTGCTACTAGCAGAGAAGGTATCTCGTTGGCTTGCAATCTTCTATCATATAAATACCTGAGGGGAGAATGTAAAAAGGATCGGGCCAAACTCTTCTCGGTGGTGGCCAGTGACAGGACAAGGGGTAGTGGGTCCAAGTTGAAACATGGGAAGTTCCACCTCCATGTGAGGAAGAACTTCACTGTGGGAGTGACAGAGCCCTGGAACAGGCTGCCCAGAGAGGCTGTGGAGTCTCCTCTGGAGATCTTCCAAACCCACCTGGATGCCACCCTGTGCCATGTGCTGTAGGTGTCCCTGCTGGAGCAGAGGGGTTGGACTAGATGATCTCTGGAGGTCCCTTCCAACCTCAGCCTGTGATTCTGTGATCTTTTTAACAATTTCTGAAGTATTGTATGTGAAATTGGGGGTTGTTTTGTTTCCAACCTAGTTTGTCTTTTCTCTTTTCAAGATGGTCCATAATCAGGCTGTTTCTTTGCATTTTTGCTTCCCTTCCTAGCAGTATTCTACCCAAGGCTCATTCCAGATTGCCCTTAGTTTGCCTAGTCTCTCCTTGATTATTCTGCTGTCAGCTAAATAAACGCTTAAGGGTTTTATCTTCCTAGTTCCCAAAAATACATTTTATTTCTTTCTATTGAAGGTATTGTAGAGTTTAAAGAATTTTATTGGCTAGTTTCAAATATAATTTAAAATGCCATTTGTTTGGTTTTGTTTGTTTGTTTTGGATGGGGTGTGCAAAAATAATAATAAAAGAAAGCACCTCTGGGATCTTTGTGCAGGAAGCAATAATAATACGTTAAGACTAGTGTCAAGAGGTCTGCAGAAATGTCCACAATTTATAAACCTTCATGAAATTACAAATGGAATAATTCTTATTTAGAAGTGTATCCTTGTCTATAACGTATAAAAGGCATATATAGGTAAATCAAGTCTTAAAAGTTGTAAGGCAAGGCAAAATCTGAATGCTTACAGCTGAGTGATTTGATTTCAACACTTCATCTCAGCAGAGGGTAAGAGGAAGTTGGCTAAGGGATGCCGTTGGTGTAACTAGCTATTTAAACTATGTCCAGTGTCAGTGTTACTGCCTTGTGACAGGCTGGCTCGCATTTTGTTGGAGAAAACCTATCCTGTTCGTGGAAAGTTTTAAAATTTAGCTTTACTTATAATACTGCATCATATGTTTTTAGGGCTGGTCATCATCCTTCTTGCTTTGAGATGAAAACTACTGTAATATTAATTGATGTTTGGGAAAATTGTCTAACCTCTGTATGGCTCCTGACTAATGAACTTAATCGCTTTGGGGATGGTATGTGTAAAAGAAATAATTTATTTTTCCTTTTCATCACCTCAATTCCAATAGGATGGCACTCGCCCTCCACTAGATGCTGATGTAAATCTTGAAGATATTGCTTTTAGTCAACACTGTGATTGTTACACGTGAGTAGCCTCTGGTTTTGGCTTTAATACCTGCAGTCCTAGCAGCCCTCTGATGCATGGTGATGTGTGTTACATTATTCCTACAAGGACCTCTTCATTTCAGGGGCTCTAAGTATTTTCTCTTGCACCATTTTCTTCACTCTCACTTGTGCTTTACAAGAAATTGATAGGAATATGTGGTTATTAAGGTCTTTTTCATCTAAATTATTCAACTTCATGCTGTAAATGCAGATCAGTAGAGGCCACTCTTTCATCTTGGTTTTGTTTACTCTTCTTTTACAATGCTTGCAAAGTCTGATGTTAACAGAACGCTCTTTAAATTGTGGGTCTGCAAACTCAGTGTTCTACATAACTTTGCAAAGCTATAAGCTATTAAATGATTTATTAATAGCTAATGATTTTCTGAAATAAAGTCTTTATGATGTGCTACCTGTTACAGTATTGCTGTTCAGTCTTATAAGTGGGGCTTATCACCAGACCTGATTTCAAACCTCGAAAAGATGACTCTGTGGAAGTCTTGTACACAGTAGCGTACAGTGTACATAAAGCAGGGAGAGTTGTGTATGAAGCCCTTTTGGGGAGGGGACAGTGGCTTTCGCTATTTTGAAGGCTTGTGAAAAACTTAACAGCTGGAAACAAAATGTTTTGAGCCTGGTCTGACTACATTTTGTGGATGCTGTTATTTTAAGGCCATGTTAATTTTAGCTGTGGGCATGGCAGCTCCTTGTGATGATAAGCAAAATCGTTCTCATTCTTCATAGGATTGACTCCAGCAAAGTGTATTGTGTGTCCACCAAGGGGCACAATAATACTCGTTGGTTTGGCATTTTGAAGGATGCTGGATCCCTTGCTCCTTATGCATTTGGTCTTAGTCTGAGACTAAAATCTGTCCACGGAAAACTGTAATAAAAATTGCAGCACCAGGTAGACCTCAGACCTCTTTCCCACGTTCTTAAGATGAATCTTTGTGACGGCACAGCCTTCTTCATCATCTTTGACCCTCTTTCTTTTTCCCTTGGGTACATACTAAGTTTGCTCTGCACTCTTGCTTTGTTGGGGAGGGAAGAAAGTGGGTGTGACCAGGAAGGGAATGGAAAATGTGGCCTGTTGTTGCTGCAGAGATCCTGCGCTTATCTCTGCAGCTAAGCACTGGGGATGAGGGCAGAAATGGAGTGGGATGGGCCATGCAGAAAGCCATGATAAAAACATAAAAAAAAAAAAAATGATTACGGCAGTTGCACCTAAATGCACCGAATACCGACTGATATAAAAAAGAAAAAAATAAAGTTGCAGATACTAGTCTTATCATACTTCGTTGGGAGGTTTTGAGATCCTTTTTTTTTTTTTAATCCCAAATCCCCTTACCTTTTAGTCATTTATCCTTTGCATTATGGCTTCTTGCAGCAGCCAAAGATGAGAGAAATTTATCCTAAAATAACTTTTTTCGGTTTTCTGTGTAGGGGGGCAGACCTTTCCGCTTTAGTGCGTGAAGCTTCTATTTGTGCCTTGAGACAGGAAATGGCCCAGCAGAACAGCAAAAGCAAGAAAGGTAAGGAAGCCTTAGAATAGCCTTATTTGTACAGTGAGAAGATAAATGGAATGTAAAGTGCTGATAATTTCTGAGCCAAACAAATCTGAAGTCAGAGGTTTGTTTCAGGAACAGGTAAGAATCTTCGTAGTAGATGTAGGTGAGAGTACAAGGGAAGTTATTATGGCAGAGTTTTAGCATAAACTTTTTACTAAAAGAATTGAACCTCAAACCTTTTAACCTTGAAAAAAACTAATATTAAATGGCATTATAAATTGAAAATTTATACTTTATGCCTAATTTTCACATAATTATAACAGACTAACAAGCTACTCCTTAAGAGTAAAGTGACGAAAGAAATTGCTGGAAAATGAGCAGTGTAGGCATACAGTCTTGATATCCTGCTCATTTTCCAGCAATTTCTTTTGTTATTTTAGTCTTAAGTAAAAATGCAAGCTAAGATGGAATTGTGACTTACCAGATGATGTCCTGGAATATTGGAAAATGTGTTAGGCTTCTAGTATGATTCTGATTCCTAACAACCACATGAGTTTTAATGGCTTTGAAACACTCTTTTTGATCCAGTAGGTATCCAGTCCCATCTGTATTTAGCAACAGCAGAGTGTTTGTATTTCTAATTAAGTGAGCGACTGCGACCCTTTGGGTGGGGAGGGCTAGAAAGAAACTGTAAAACCTTCCTTGTTGTAGGACTCGGCTACCCATTTTGCTGCAGTTAAGAAAGATACTAAAAGCTTTTGATCTGAGATGGAAGTTCCTGAATCAAATCTGATGCATTTTGAGCAAATATAAAAACAAACAGGATAAATACAAAGATATTAATCTCTTGAATTCAGCCTTCCAATTTCAGGGTTGCAGCCTGGCCAATGGATTTGTCAGCTGCCAACAGATGTGTAAAGTGTATGCAAGTTGATCTGCATGTTTGTAGCAGCTATTTGTTTTGAAACCTTTTTCAATTGTGTCTTGAAAGGTGGTATAGAAACACACAGGAAAATTTCTTGCTTCACCACAGGACATGCACATCTGACTCCCCTCCCGTGTTGTGTACGTGATTGTAGATGGGTGGTGCATGTGCAACAGCAGCCAGGTCCTTTGCATCACTTACCTGAGATCAGGGCTGTGCACTACCACGCTGTAGAAACGATTACAACACCCTTGTACCTACTTTTTTCCTTCTGGAGTAAATTTAATGTTTAGTTGTTGTTATGGCAAAGTTCTGCTTTGAGTTACCTGAAGAATTTTTTTATAGTGAAAAAGGAGAGGTTTCCTTTTTGTGATATTTCTTAAAGAATCCATAAGTTTTGCTTCCAACTTGAACAGTGGCCCAGGAAATGACAGATATTCCACTCGGTCAGGGGAGAACCAACCCAACTTTCTAACAAAGATTGGACAGATTTTCAGTTTTAAGTGCCCTCTGGAGCTCCTCATCGTTAGCCCAACTTTGACATCCAGTGTTTTTTGCAAACTTGGGGCTTTCACTGGTAGTTCTGTTCTCTGGGTCACTGATGAAGATAGTGCAGAGCCCAGCGCTGGACACAGGACACAGGTGTGGCCTCACCAGGGCTGAGCAGAGGGGAAATTCAGCAGTGATATTTTTGAGATTCTTCTGTCTAAGCTAAACAAGGTACTTGCATGTGAGAACAGAGAAATCTGCTGCGAGGTACTTACACATCAGCAGACTTCTGAGAAGCAGGGGGGAACTGTTCCAGAACTACAGTTACAAATAATCACTGTGAACGGCTGCATGGGGGGAAAAGGCATACAGATAAACTGAAAGGTAGGCAATTGAAAAAGTGGAGAGAAAACTTGCCTCGCATAATGCCAAACAAGGGCCTGATATGGAGTGAGTTATTTAGGATTTAAAAATCCTGTAATGGAATGGGGAATGATAGAAAAGGTTCTCTAGCTATCTATATAAAAACATTTTTGTAAGGACATTTAGGGGTAAAACATGTACAGAAAGTAAAACACCACATTGGAACTTGGGAAATTTATTTCCCACTAGGAAGAGGTACTTGAACTCTGACGGGATTTGAGGTAAACTTTAGTTAACTCAGTATCTTTGAAAATTAAATTCCTAGTCTGTAGGTGAAAACGTTAATACAAACAAAAATTAAAAGTACTTTGGCAAAAGGTACAGCTTAAAAATATGCCTAAGATCATTGACAAGAGCTTACATTAAAAGTAGGTGTTCATGACGCTGCTTAGGTCTCATCCAAAAGACAGTAGCGCATTCAGTTAGGCTTTATGAATTTTATTTGAAATATGTGCAAAAGAAATCACTTAATTGTCACTTGCCTGCAGCTTCAAATAGTAATTTATTGTGGTTTTTTTATTTAAGGCGAAATCAAGATTTGCCGTAAACACTTTGAAGAAGCTTTTAGGAAAGTGAAATCCTCAGTGTCTAAGAAGGTGAGAAAAGTTTTCATAAGACTGGTCTCTTCTGGAAAGGATATTCTTTATATGCTAGTGACTGGTGGGAATAGTTGTGTTTAGAGTATTTGTGTATGTGTGTGAACGTTAACTTTTAAGAGTTAACCTGAAATGTCAGGCTGCATCTCAAAGACTGTGTAAATATGCTATGTATTTGAACCATGTATTTCAATTAAATTCATTTGGAGAACGTTCAATTAAATATTTCTCCTCCCACTTTGAGTTGCTACTTGTGTGGCAGAGAAGTCTGATGTGACAGAGCAACATGCTTCTCCTGTGAAGATCAGAAACCACAGGAAGCTGCATCTTGCTGTTTCAGCGCTCAGTTTAAACTGTGTGCTCTCTTTTGCCTCCCCTATACACCTCATTTCAGTTGGTTTTTTGGCTTAAGTGGCTGATATGTTTGAGAGAAATCCAAGTAACCTCTTCAAAGCTATAGACGGATGCCATCTTTTGTATTCCGTTTGGTCAGCGGAAGTTAGTGTCCCACATTACTCACTTCCTCAAAACTGACCTTTTGAGGCACTTAAAAAGTGATTGAAAAGCAGTTACAGTAAAAGAAGCTAGATGATTGTTTAAAAAGTTTAAATAATAGTAGATCTTTGTAAAGCAGGTTTATTTTTGCAGAAGCAGTTTGGGGAATATCTTCACTCCAAAATAAGGCAGTAGTTTTTAGTGAAACTGTGTTTCCAGCCTTGCATGGCAGTATCAAGTAGAAGAGCTCTGCCACAACAGCCTTTGTTAATTATGTATTGCTGGTGACTGTTACCAGATAGCCTCAATTATATGAAGGGGGGAAGGGGTAAGGGGTTGCCTTTAATTAGCTTTTGTTCTAAATATTTCTGGGGAAAAAAAAAGTATCACATGTGAGTCACATATCTGATTTATTTCATTTTCTCCTTAAATAATTCTAGTATTGTAACTTTCCCTATATTATTTTTACTGTCTGATGAAGTTTTGTTCTCTCTTATCTTGGCACTGTTAAGGATCAAGTAAGGTATGAAGAACTGCGCCAGTCACTGCACAGATGATACATTTGGACAATTCCCCAGCGAGACTTACGTTGATGAATTTCATAATACCAGTGTCTGATTTCAGATCTTTAACTTTTTAATCTGCTCCTGAAAAGAAAAGCCTGTTGTAACCTAATGCTCTGAGCCATCCTTCATTTAATTACGTCCAGAATAAGAGGTAGGAAAAGAAGCAAGCAAAAACAAAAAGGCAAAACCCCACACTTTTCCCTTTTTGCTTCTCACTATGTTGACTAAAAAATAAATGATATTAAATCCGTAGGGTTAGACTACTTAGATTGTTTGGTGCCCTTAATCCTTCGGAGAGAGACTAACCCCTTCAATGTGTAACTCTGCTCAGTTACTTGTTCTTAGCCATAAATGAAAACAGCTGCTCTCAGGAACAAGGACTCTTAAGAATTATTGCAAGAGCAGAGCTGTGAAATGAGATGGGGGAGGGCTGCCCTCTGTTCTCACACCCTTTAATCCTGCCTTTCCCAAATATGGCAACACAGGGTGATTGTGCCAGAGCAGGTTCTCAGAGTTCCTTAAACTACTTTTTATCTTATCAAAAGAAACCAGCTGGAGACAGCAAGCTGTTTTAAGGTAGTCCAAGAGAGCAAAGCCTGGAAGTCCGAGGAATGTTAGTATATGATTTAATGGCATCCTAAGAAATTTAGAGTTATTTTAGAGTTTTTGGTGTTAACAAGCTGGTTCTTAATTCTTAAAATTAGAAACTACAAAACAGAAATTACTGATTTGAATTTCTTAGTGTTTGACAAATGCTGCAGAAGGAGGAATACTTTTCTAAGAAGCAGGGCAAGTGAGAGTCTCATGCTGAGATTTTTTTTTCCTCCAAAAAAAAAAGCTGTTAATAGTGAGTCTATTAGCTCGCAAACAAGGAAGAAAAAAATCATTTGTAAAAAATAAACTTCAACCCAAACTGAATAAATCCACACACCTCACCTCATTCTTTTTACATTTATTACAATACTTAACAGATTCTCAGATTTATTTGGTTCCTGATGTTTTTAAAAATGCTGCCAGCAATTAGCGTGATAGCATTTTTCAGTGTTCTTCATCCAATGCATTTATTTGTTCTTGCAGTAAATTCATAATAGAGTAAGATGCATTTCTTTTTATAAAAGTTGCATTTCTGCATTTATGTAGTATGTGGAATTCCATCTTGGAAAGAGGGTCAGCTTTCCAGTATGCTGATGCTGGAACTCAATTAAAATGAGATACTGCTACAGATAATTGGGCAAGCAACTTTTGAACCCAGAACCCTTCATGCGTTTTTACTGCTGTCATTATAAAGAGTTCTTTACTTAGAGTTGCCTAAAGCTTAAAGAGTTGCTTAAATCTGTTACAATCTCTGATCAACATTATTCTTTCCAAAATCTGTACAAGCATCAGAAAATGAAAGAGGGCTTTTTTGGTTTGTTTTTTTTGTAGTTGTTTTTTTGCCAGCAAGTTACATAGTTTTAAAGTTGGCTAGTGCTCATTTTAAAATACTTTTAGACTGACAACATTTCAATGTAAAAACAGTAAAATAGTTTTTGTAAGCTTGTTTACAAAAAGCAAACATTCCCCTTACTTCAAGGCTCTGAAGTAGATTATTAGTCTCCTACTCAAAACTATCAACATAAAGCATAACTGATATAACAAATTGCCCTGAAGTCAAAGTTTGACTGGTTGTGACTCAGAACAACCTGATCTAACTTCAAAATTGCCAGCGCTTTGAGAGGGAGACTTGAGATGACCCCTAGCAGTCCCTTCTACCCTAGAGTATTTTATGAATTATGTGTCAAGATGGACTAGGGTATCTTCCTACATGACAGAACTTCAGCTGTTTGCCTAAGTGTTGCTCTGCTGCTCCTTTTTCTTTGGGGAAATTCTGCTTAGACTACACTAGTCATGATTAAAAAGCAAGTCAAAAAACCTTTGTAAAAGGTAAGATACAAAATAACTTGTGCTTGCACAAAGTGAGCATCACTTATGTAGACCACAACTGTGTTCCACAGATGAACTACCTCTTTCCTAGCAGACCTGCCCTAGAGAAGGTTTTCCCTCTAGACATCTAGTTTCTGTGGGATGAGATCAAGAAAGATTTCTCCCCATTCCTGAGGCTACCATGTACCTCAACCACGCTAATAATTCAGAGCATGCTTGATGCCATCTTAAGACTAAGATAAGGGGCAGAAGCAGGTGCAGGGAGCTATCAGCAGAGCAGAAAAACATACATGCCTCCCCCCAAAAATGCTGTCTTCATCCCTTGCTGAATATGTAGCATTTTCAGCATGCTTGTCCTTGCTGCAGACTTGTGTACTACTGCAGACATGATTATGAAATGGAGGGTTTTACAGAGAAGAGTGGTAGTTGCATATGCAGAGTAGCAGGGTGGTGGACGATGCATATCTACATTATAGAGACAGACCTGTTCATCACATTGTTTCTCTGGTGCATGTAGAAACAATCCTGGCACATCCAGAAGAGGCTATACTTTGCAACATGTAAGCTAAAACAACAAAATTCGCTTCGCTGCAAGTCTTCTGAGACCCTTTCAAATTAGGAAGGAGCACTGTGTTTATCTCATACCACTTACCAAGCAGGATCCTTACCAGAAAGCAGCTTTTTTCCCCGTTGTCCAACAGGATTAGTAGGGCAGCATGAAACTACAACCATAGCACTGACATTTTAATACAAGGAGTTGCCAGTGACCAGATTAGCAAGCAGCACAACACTGAGCTCCTGGATCACAGGATCACAGAATGGTTGAGGTTGGAAGGGACCTCTAGAGGTCATCTGGTACAACCCCCCTGCCAGGGTGGCATCCAGGCAGGTGTGGAAGATCTCCAGAGGAGGAGACTCCACAACCTCTCTGGGCAGCCTGTTCCAGGGCTCTGTCACCCTCACAGGAAAAGTTCTTCCTCACATGGAGATTAAAATTGATGTCTCAGCGTTTTTATGTTTTTCTTCAGTAGTTATTTAGGCAATAGAAATGGCTACTTTTCAACAGAGCTGTGGTTCCAGGCAGCAAGACTTGCCTGGACCCAAGACCCAGAGCTGTACAAGCAGGGAGGTCATGATAACCAGACATTTTTCTGGAGCAGACTGGTTCCCAAGCAAGACAGGGATGCCAGAGACAGAACTTGTTTTGAAAGAGGAACATATCCACACCTGGCTTCAGGGAAACTCGTGCCTAATATGATCAGACTGCAAGCTGCAGTGCCTGTTCTCTCCTGGCTTCAGGTATAAAAGTCACTTTAGACTAAAAACTGCGCATTACTTTCAGAGCTCTGAAGGAGAGCATTGGAATTGCAGCAGAAACACTCAGTGATGGGCCCCAGAGTTGACCCACTGATTTGACAGTTAAACTGCAGGCTGATTTCACATAAAGAAATGAGAGGATGGGTCCCACTAAGCAACTAATAAGACACATTAGTTAAACAGAAAGGAATAAACAAGCATGTACAAAGTTGGCCAACTCCATCAGACTCAAGTTTAAAATAACATGGTAATTGAGTCAGAGCCCTTAAGGGTATTAGGTTCAGTTCGTTCATTACTAGTTAGTCAAAGCTTCCTCCACATTTCAGCTTAAGTATTAAAAGCATAAACCTTCTGTATTGAACAGTGTTACTTCCATTCACTTACAGAAGAGACTTGACTTAAACTGATCTGCAACTTTGTAAGCAACTAAGTCCCAAAGGATAGCTTTTGGGCAACACCATTCAAAAGGTCTACCTGCATCTTCCATAATACTAAATTGTTAAACTCTTAAGCCCTCTAACATCAGAGGGCCAGTCAAATCCCCCCCCAAAATATGTTAAGTCTTTAAGTGAATTTTAAAATACTGGATGAAGTATATTGACAGTACATCTCCCCTGTTCAATATATGCTGGCTAGCTACCACATCCTTGGCATGATAATGAAGTTACTTGAAGTGGCTAGCACACTTTCATAATGAGACTTTATTGATACCAGTTCTACTGCTTAGCTGGAGGTGAGGGCCCAGGCTTTAAACAAACAAACACAGAAGTCCCCAGCAAAGCACTGAAGACAGAATTGCAGTCAAGCAAGGATAGGACATCATAACACCTTCTCTGGCACCCAGCTGCTTCTTCCAAAGCTTGCAGGAAGCACAGTATCTAAAAGTCAAGATCCTTACAGCACAAACACTTGACAACCTTCAGACTCTATTTTAGGTAAGTGAATTTCCCATCGCTATTTGACATTAAGTCAAAAAAAACAGTCTCTCAGCTTAAAGCTGGTATATTGGTTAACAGAGGGCAGAAACACTGTGCTGACATGTCTAGAGATTCTTCACTGCTCAGTAAGTTGATTCATTCTCTGCTCCAATATAAAATAGCTTCTCTAATAGAAAATTTAGTGGTATCACAGCTGTTTTCATCACATTTTAAACATACAAGACCAGTGTTTTTGTAGGGTGCTGTAGTTTAAAAAAAATGAACTAGATCCTTTAGCAATACTGTTCTGTGTACACAAATGACATGCCTGAAAGCTCCAGTTGCCACTAACATTGTCTACCAGAACAGTGTGTTTCAGCTGATTAAGTTCCCTCCACACAAACCAAATTCCCAAACAATAAGAAATTCAAGAGCTACTTGAAGCCAAGTTAACTGCAATACCAACAAGGACAAGCCGACTCATTTCTGGGCAGATCACAAGAAACCTCAGCAACAGGACTTGCCAATACACAAAACCCTCCTGAGTTACAGGAGCTGCCCAGGGGGCTCTCAGAGCAGAGTGAGTAGTAGCAGCTGCAGAGCTGAGCCCCAACTCATGTAGCTGAGAAATAAGTGGGGAGCCACAAAGCTAAAGCCACCTCTGAATTCCCTTACTTTTCACAAGGAAGTCACACAAACCATTCAGAATAAGCCAGTTTCATGCTAAATGATGGAATTGCACCTTTAAACAAAAAGTGAAACATATTCAAGTAATGCTTTAAGGGACATGTTACATATTTTTAAAAAGGCATTTAAGTATTTGTGCAAATCTTGTTCTCCCACCCTTGAATCAGGAAGCAAGTTCAACAGAAAATTTAAGTTAACAGATCATGTTAGTTTAGAATTAACAGTACTTAACACTACAGAGTCATTTGTGGGCAGCATACTACATGTAGAACTTTGCTATTTTTAGGAGTCAAACATTTACTTCCAAAGTAAATTCTGTAACAAAGTAATTTAATATTATGCATATAACACTGATCCTTAGGCAAACATGTACATTAATACAATAAATCTGAAGACTGCTAGGAATGTTATAGCTGGCAATAGACTACTTTGTTGCCAAGTCCTTAAGGATGCATTGCTAAGTTGCTGTAGATCTTATTTCAGGGCATGGATGGACATCTTTAACAAGAGACTTTGTACCAGCCACTTCAAAGCAAGCAGACATTGCAGAGTCTTTTTGGTTGCCAGAAGTTTAATCTTGTTTCACTTCCCCCTTTAAATGCCTTTTCATGCGTGAGTACGGGCTGATTGTATCATCCATCACGAAGTCATAAAGCACTTTTATCCACGAGTTGTACTGGGGCAGGTTGTCATAGTATTCAGCTGCTATCTTCTTCACCTGCAGGGAGACAGGAGGGTCAGTTACTATTTTAGTTCATACTATGACAAATTCTACAAGCCTCAAACTATATCACAACATGGAGCACTAGAAGTTTTTTTTTTTTAAAAAAAGACATTACACTTAAAATTCTACTGGTGAAAGTGAAAATTTCTTGGAGAAAAACAACTTGCTGGTTGTTCAGTAAAATTCATGTGAGGCTTGGAAGTTGTAGAAGCTGCTACAACAGGTCAATGGGAACAGTGAAGTCCATACACTGTTGCTTGTAGAATGATGCACTGACTCAAAGCAAGCAGGTGATTTTAAATTGCCAGCAACAGGTGCCATAACAAATTAAAATTAAGAGACACTTAACAGCTAATTTTACATACAGTTTTAAGCCTCAGCACTCAGGAAAAAAAAAAAACACTATTAATTTCTGAGGACAAGCACTAAAGAATAAAAGCAAGTAAACAGCTTGCTGAGACTTCACTTAGATGCACAGCCTTACCATTTTTTAAGCCAAGAGTCATGCAATTTTCTTCAGATTCCATTACGAGGATATTTAACATCAGACATTCAAAGCTTTGGAAAAGTCTGAACAAATCTGTTTCGTTAATCTGTACCAGCAATACTTCTGCTGTTTACATTCTTGATTAGGAGCTGAGGGTAATTTTGACTCCAGCTGCCATTACACCTAAGGCAGCACATTGGCTAGATGTGTGATTTCTTTTGACAGTACTTTTGTCTCTGCAGGAATTAAGTGCTCAGTACTTCAGTCATCTTTAGCATGCAGCATAGCAGAGTCCAGTCCAATCAAATTAACTACTCTAAAAGGCAGCTTTGTTTTCTTATCAAAGCTGTGGATTAACAGCCCTGTAAAGCTTTTTACTCTCCACAATTAAATACTTAAAACAAACAAACAAAAAAAACACTCTATTGAGAACTTAAGTAGGGACACATGATGTGCCATGTTTCCCAGCACAGATCTAGTATCAAAGGTAACTCCAAATTTAAACTTAAGCCCATGAACAACAGACATTCCCTCCTAGCCCAACTCTAGGAATGAATTAAATTCACCTGCCCTGCCAAGAAAATGCTGGAAAAATCCCTCCCTCCAACCCTAGCTGTACAAGGGAGAAGATTTAAGTTTGGAGAACATCAGGAGGAGCTCACCAGGTCCCACCACTACTGAGTGCAGTAACAAAGCTATGAGATCGACACCAACTGCTGTCAAGCCAAGTTTGGTGTGTGATGGAAAACTGACCCAAGATAAATTCCAGAGTGGGTACACTCTGGAAACCTGTGCTTTCATACTCCCAACAGGGAAACACAAATACAGGAGCTAAATTCCTCATTAAAATAAAACTAGGGAACAGGGGGAAGAAAGCAGCTTGAAAATCCGTATCTGCTACTCATATAGACATAGCCCATCTCAACCTTACTGTGGAAGCTTTCATCATGTCAGTGTAGTACAGCTGATACTTGCTTAGGGTCCAAAGTCCTTCAGGAGAGAAAACTAAGCGGCTCCAGCATAGAAAGCTATTAAATATTTGCCAACAGTACAACAAAGTTCCACAATACCTCAAGGCTTCCCTTTTTTCCACCAGAGAATTCAATTCTGAATAAGTGACCATGACTCAATGGTCAAACTGAAGGATAAGCGTGTGTTACCATATTTTACTTAAAATTTCAAGAACAGACAGGGCTGGCAATTTGCTGTAGACTATCTGCAAGTTAACTAGTTTCATATATATGTCCAAACAGAAAGAAATACTGAAGGCTGGTTGTAATTACAGAGAATTAGAAGTTGGCACAAAAAAGAGGGTATAATCACATGTGTTTCCACCCAACTCCCTTTACGGGAAAGGCTAGACCAGGAAGCACTTTAGTAAATTTATTCAGGATACTACTAAAACAGTAAGTAATTTCCCCTTCATTACTCAACTTACTACTAAAAGTGCATGAAAATTTCCAACTTCTAGCTTTTGAGGATTTGCTGACCATATTCTACCAGTTTTTCAAGTTAGAGTAAGGTTTAGCTTAAGAGAAGTAAACTTACCAGTGGAAGGCTCTTGCCAGGAATATTTGGAAAGTCATGGTGTTCATTGTGATAGCCAACATTAAAAGTGAGCAAGTTGAGGGGCCCATAGTAGGAATAAGTTTCGTGTCCCTTTAAAAACATGTAATGTTCAGCTATGAAGTGTCCTGAAATGGGGTGCAAACCAAGTCCAAGGACTGAGCCTGCAAGCATGTAACAAACTGACTTGGCTCCCCACAGGTAGTATATGGCAACATCAAAGGAAAGCTGGGCCAGCAGGTTGATGATCTCCAGGCGAGTGATTGGCTTGGGATTGATGCAGAGGGGTCTGATCGCGTAGAAGAGAGGCTGAAGAACAATCCACATGAACTTTCTAAAGGGTGTGCAGAAAAACCAGCCTTCAAAGTTGGTGGGAATGTCCACATCTATCCCATCACCCCCTAAATAGCGATGGTGATCCATGTGGTATCTCTTGAAGGAGATGGAGTATGGCACACCGAGAGGCAGGTTGGCAAATATTCCAAACCATCGATTCCACATGGCTTTCCTGTTGCCAAAGGCACTGTTGTGAGAGATCTCGTGAATAGCCAGAGTCATGGAGTGGCTAATGCAGCTTCCAAAAACATATGCCCAGAAGAGCACCCACTTCCAGTCCAAGTCCTTAACTAGATAAAACGCAACCAGCTGCGCAAGAACCATCAGCAGAACCACCCAGATCAAGTTGGTGTCTGGCTTCATCAGGGCTTTTATCTCTGGATGCTTAGCTGAGGGGATGATTAAATGGAAGAGGGCGTTAGCTTGGTGCAAGCTCTCCTCAGCAGCCACGTGTCCCACTGGCCGCTGAAGGGGCCTCCCCACCGCCCCGCGGGGACCGGGGCGAGGAGGCGTCCCTGCCCGCGAAATGCCGCACTGCGCTGCCCAGGGCCCACGAAAGGCGACTGGGGCGGCTCGGCGCGCAGCGGCCGGGCGCTCCTCCGCAGGCCCCGCCGGCCCGGGCC